AGTGCTGGAACTAAAGACATGGGCCACCATCCCTGGCCAAGAGGACAAGTTTTTAACAGCCTTATGCAAATTTGTGTTGTCTAAAACAGAACATTGCCAACAACAACAACAACCTATAGGCTGCGGTTGGCTCACTAGGAAGACCACTCGCTGTGCAAGCCAGAGGACCTGAGTTTCAATCCCAGGCACCCCTTTAGAAGCTGTGTATGGCTCTACAGCTTTGGGAAGAGTAACAAGCAGATCCCTGAGCACGCTGGCCAGCCAGCCGCGATAAAACTGCAAGATTCAAATTCATTGAGACCTGGTCTCAAGGGAGTAAACACTCAACATTCTCATGGGGCCACCCTCCCAAGAGCAGTTGTGCAAAAGCACACCACTGCGAACCTATGAAGAGGCTGCCCCCACTATTGTCTAATACCCCTGAAGGTATCCTAAAGAATAAGTGCAGCTATCTTGCCCTCCAAGTCCTTCTCTGGCCAAAGTATATCTGCTAGACTTCCTCGGGATAGGCTTCTTCTAGCTTCCCTCCTCTCCTTTCTCCAGGGCAAACACACCGTTGGGTTGTCTCGTTGTCTCGCTGGGGCCAATTAGCTCTCCCTCTGCCCAAACTCTGCGGGACTACAGATCCCACGCCTGCGGTCCAGCACCCCAGGGACACAGTTCCCAGCCCACCCGGTTGATGGTCCTCACCTCCAGCTCTTTGTCTCTGTGCTCCTAGACACAACCGGAGCCTACCTCCACCCACCCCCCCCCCCCCGGTCTGTTTCTCTCCCCCCCCCCCCCCCTCCCTCCCTCCCTCCCTCGCTCCCTCCCTCCCTCTTGTGCTCCGTGTCCTCCGCCCTCCCTCCCTCCCTCTCTCTCTCTCTGTCAGCACTTACCTAGAGGAGGAACTTGGCAGTTATAGCTGAGGAGTTAGAGGCTTGTTTACTGTCACTGTGGAAACCTCCAGGAGCCTACTCCCAGTGGGACCTGTTCCACAGTTCCCTCGTGTGCAGAGCCTGGGGAAGCCCCGTGACCCCCAGCTCTCTACTCCTGCTCAGCCACTCCCCAGGAACCTGGGAACAGTAGCAAGGATCTGGGTTTTGCTATATCAAAGTGGTAAGATAGGAAGCGAGAGGCTGAGGCAGGAGGATAAGAATTTATAGGCTGACTATGGTAGCCAATAAGTCTCTGTCTCTTAGAGAAGTAAACAAAATCAGGAGAGGCCCAATGATGGAGAATGCACTTAGCATTCTTAAGGCTTTGAGTTCAATCAGCACCCAAACAGTAACACAGAGAAATATATAAAATAGGGTCTCAATTACAAAATCTGGCCTCTGTTAAACTTGCTTTGTAGCTGAGGCTGGTCTTTTTGGAGCAGAGGCTGGCCTTAAACTTGAAGTTGGTTAGAACTTGTATTGTTTCTGGAAATAAAGCAAGGGGCAGTGTACTACTCTAATCCCAGTCCTCTAAGGAGGTAAGAAGACCAGGAGTAAAAGCCACCCTCTGCCACTTAATGAGTTTAAGGCCCAGGCTACAGGCTATCTGAATCCTAAGACACTATTTCAAACAACAAAAGTAAAAATAAAGAAAGAAGAAAATACGATATCAGGCTCATCCCTCAGCTTGGCAGGATGTCTTGAAACCCAGTGACAGGACAACCTAATCTCTTTGTCTTCTTTGCCATTTAGGGTTTGTTTTGTTTTTTGTTTTTTTCTTTTTTTGGTTTTTCGAGACAGGGTTTCTCTGTGTAGCCCTGGCTGTCCTGGAACTCACTCTGTAGACTAGGCTGGCCTTGAACTCAGAAATCTGCCTGCCTCTGCCTCCCAAGTGCTGGGATTAAAGGCCTGTGCCACCACCGCCCGGTGCCATTTAGTTTTCTAAGTGTTTGCTGAGAGTCAAATTTATTTTCCTCTAGGGACTGTTTTATTTTGGACTGGCTCACACAGCTTGCTTTCTCATACAATCCAGAAACACATGCCCTGGGCACCACACACAGTGCGCAGGGCCCTCCCACATCAACTATCAGTCAAGACAATGCCAGCTCTCAGACATGCTCACAGGCCAACCTGATGAAGGCAATTCCTCAGTGAGATCCCTCCCCAAGTGACTCCAGTCTGCTTAAGGTAGACAGAGACTTCACAGATGACTTTTGAAACAAGGTCTCGCCGGGCAGTGGTGGCGCATGCCTTTAATCCCAGCACTTGGGAGGCAGAGGCAGGTGGATTTCTGAGTTCGAGGCCAGCCTGGTCTACAGAGTGAGTTCCAGGACAGCCAGGGCTACAACAGAGAAACCCTGTCTCGAAAAACCAAAAAAACAAAACAAAACAACAACAACAAAAAAAGCAGGCTGAGCAAGCCATGAGGCTGCATCCCTCTATGACCTCTGCATTGGCTCTGTCTCTAGGTTCCTGCCCTGCTTGAGTTCCTGTCTTGTCATTTTTTGATGATGAACAGTGATGTGGAGGCATAAGCCAAATAGACCCTTTCCTCTGCAGCCTGTTTTGGTCATAGTGTCTCATCACAGCAATAGTAACCCTAACTATGACAGTTATCAAGAAAAACAACAAATGCAGCCGTGTTGGGATCGTTAAGTTAGTGCACTTACTATGGAGATCAGTGTGGAGGTCCCGGGAAAACTAAATTTATATTCCAGCTACATAACTGCTGAGGAGAATTGCTGAAACCATCCTGGCTTGGGCCCTTGATCCCTCACTAGGGATGGCCAGGCAATGAAGGTAATGCACATACATATGTACAGAAAAGCTAGAATCAGGTGAGACTGTCACGTGATGGAGGCACCTACTGCCCTGGAACCAGAGCCTCAGCCTGTTTATTACCTTCAGCTCAAGGGGAGGAGTTAGCAAGTCTCAGCACCAGGTCTCAGTAGGCTGGCTTCCTAGAAGTTTGTGTATATGCTGGTCAATCCCTGGGACTTGGACCAGGGAAGAATTTAGCCATGGAAACAGAGCTTCTGTCAAATATACCCAGGACCAAGGAAAGCCACTGTCCCAGCAGATATGATGAGTTTACGGTTCGTATTTTGTTTTCGTTGCTTCATCCCTCTGAGCTTCATCCAAAGAAGGCTTTCCACCTTCCCATGGATTCCAGGAGTTGGTCTGTGTTGTAGCTGTGCCCATGTCTATGGTAAACTCACTCAGGACTTCAGTCACTGAGGACTTCCTATGTTCCCGACATATAATAAACCCAAAAGGCATGAAAGTCAGCATACAAACAGAGTCCTGCACATCCATGTCACTGTGGCTTAATTTTCCGTGTCAACTGTGGCTTAATTCTCGGTAGCCAAATCATCATAGATGTTCTTCAGTAGGGGGACTAGGGAAAGAAAAGGTGACATTTACACCCACCATTATTTTATTCATGTATAAGGAAGGACTGGGCCTGGGGAGATGGCTAGGTCAGTAAAGTGCCTACGAAGCAAGCAGGAGGACCCATGTGTGGATCCCAGCACCACACGAAAGCCAGGCATGGCTGAGCACATCTGTAACCCCAGCACTGTGTCCAGTAGAGACATCAGAGCCTATTTGCTGGCCAGACTGCTCAATTAGAGAATCTGTCTTAAAAAATAAGGCGGGAGACAAAAGAAGACACCCCACACTGATCCCTGGTCTCCACACACAGCCTCACATACTCCCAACACACACACACACACACACGGGAAAATAAGACAAAACATCAGAGTTTTAAAAATCTAGAGGCTGGTCTACAGAGTGAGTTCCAGAACAGCCAGGGCTACACAGAGAAACCCTGTCTCGAAAAAAAAAAACAAAAAAAAAACTAGAGGCATGTGTAAAGAACATGTTTTCCCAGTGTGCATCTCAACAGAGAAAAGCCATGATTACAAGAATTTAGCCATAGCTGGGCTATGGTGGTACATTTCTTTAATCCCAACACTCAGGTGGATCTCTGAGTTCAAAGTAAGCCTGGTTTACAGAGCGAGTTCCAGGACAGCCAGGGCTACACAGAGAAACTCTGTCTTGAAATTAAAACAAAACAAAACAACCCATAAGAATTTAGCCATGGAAACAGGGCTTCTGCCAAGTATGGCCAGGACCAAGGAAAGCCAACATCCCAATAGGAATGATGAGTTTTCACTTCACATTTGCTTTTCATTGCTTTTACAGTTTTGACAGTGTTATGTGGCTATTTTTTCCAAACTGAAACTTTCCCTAAGAGGAGGCTTTTAGACTCTTGAAATTTACTAGGCTCAAGAAAAAGAAGGGACAGAAAGTTAAAGATTCACAAGACCCTTCTGTCAAGGGTATGTTAGCAAACAATAGCTAGGGAAAAGACTTTTCGGTGCTGCTGCCTGCAGCTCTCCTGAGTGGTCACACACTGGGGTGAGGTTTTTGGTAACATGGGTGCCATGGGTAACCCCACGCTCTTGTGAGTGACTCCAGTATACTGTTGGCTCATCATGGTGGCTTGGGTGTAATTGTGTCTTTAGTCTGTCGTCTGTGTTCTATTTGGAGTGAACAGGAGTTCACATGGCTCCTGGAGAAGTCACCCAACACAGCCCCTAAACAGAGACTTGAGAGAACCAAACATGAACTAGAGTAGTTGTATGGCCCCTACCAAGGAACACAAGACACACAACTGGGGCTGATCCCTCTGAGAACAGAGCACCTGGAGGGACAATCTTGATATGGTTATTTCCCCTATAAGTTATGGGATGGCCTATATGTGGCCCTTGTTCTGGGTGATGAAACACAAAACCAGGGCTTAGCTGAAGGTAGAGATTGAGGTTTGCCAAAGAGATCACGATCCACAGGTTGGGAACCGCTGGAACAGAGAGACACAAGATAATTCATGTAAACATGCCTATTCATGTTCTTCTGTATAACTACCTCAAAGTTTTGCCTTGATTGTAGGGAGGGAAAGGACAGAGATACCTTCATGATTAAAATCTACGAGAAACTTCATTTAGTTTGCAATAACATCTAGAACATTAGGCAGTTCATTCCCATGTGTCAGAATAAATATAACACAGGAACAAGTAACATATTTTAAATGGTATTTATTGTTCATTATTCAAGGTGGCACAGCCGCTGTGCTGGGGATGGGAAAGGCTTGTGAGGCGAGGGTTCTGCCACTGAGTTAAGTTTGGCGCTTGCCTTTTATGTTTCTGTGATTTAAGCTTCATTATTTTCTGTCAGCCTCTTAAATAATTGGAGTGATTTTCGTTTTCTTCTCTTTTTGGTGTTTCGAGACAGGGTTTCTCTGTATAGCCCTGGCTGTCTTGGAACTCACTCTGTAGACCAGGCTGGACTTGAACTCAGAGATCCTCCTGCCTCTGACTCCCAAGTGCTAGAATTAAAGGCAGGAAACACCACATCCAGCTTGATTTTAGTTTTGTATACTCTTATTGTTTTCTAAGAGTGCTCTTTGTATATGGAGGCACAGATACACCAATGAGTTGCATGCATAAGGATAACAACAGCCCATAACTCACAGTCTTTGCTAATATTTTCCCCAGGTCGTCATAAGAGAGTGAGAACTTCTCAGAAGAATACCCTGTTCCCCAGACTCTGCTGGTAGCCAGGGGCACTACGTGTTTGTAAGGGCCACTGGAGACATTTAGGAGTCTAGAGAGTCAGTTTATCCCGGCAGGATATACAAATGACCTGCAAATGAGTTGGCTGCAAGGAGACCCCTGAGTTTAGACAAGTGAAGGAGAAAAAGCTGTTCTGAAGTCTGTCTGAAGACTCCAGAGAAAGAGTAAAGGCAAAACTACCAGTAACATGTTTCAAAACAACCTTCTAGAGCTTGGAAAGGGGGTTATTTATTTTATGCATATGAGTGTTTTCCTGCATACATATTCGTGCACCATACGTGCATGCTTGGTGCCCACAGAGGCCAGCCAGCAACGGCCATTGAATCTTCTGGAACCAAAACTACAGATGGTTGTGAGCCACTGCATGGGTTTTGGGAACAGAACTGAGGTCCTTGGCAGGTTCTCTTAACTCCTAGTCCGTCTCTGTACTCTGTAGCCCTAGCCCCCCTCTAGAACACAGACACACAACTTAGTCATAAGACTATGATACAACACTCTAGAAAAAGATACAATTGAATAGTTTTTGAAAGTTAGCATTGTGTAAGCCAAGCCAGGTAGGGTGGTGCACACCTTTGGGAGGCAGAAGTGGGCAAGTCTCTGAGTTTGAGGCCAGCCAGTTCTACAGAGTGAGTAAGCCAGGGCTACACAGAGAAACTCTGTCTCAAAAAGCTAAAACAAACGAACAAAAATGTCATTAAAAAAGATGTCATGGTCATCCTCATCTACATAGAAAGTTAGGTCCAGCCTGGGCTACATGAAACCTGTCGCAAAGACAAATACCTTACCATAGGCTCAGAAGGCTTCTGCACTTCAAGACAGGCATAGAATCAACACTTGTCAGAAAACCACATTTACCTCTCAGTAGCAAGGCTGAGAGAACTCTGTGAAGGTGGTGCTGCACACCGGAAGTTCCTGTGCTCTTGCTGAGGAAGTGGAAGCAGGTGGAGCTTGAGTCTGAGGCCAACTTGTGCTACATCCGCTAAAGCCTGGAGAAAAAAAAAAAACGGAGGGAGGAAATTAAGTGGGGATGGGGGGAGGAGGAGGGAGGAAGAGGGGGGAGGAAGGGAGGAGGAGGAGGAAGGGAAGAGGTGGAGAGGGAGGAGGAAGTGGGGAAGGGAGGGGGGAGGAGGGGGAGGAGGATCCCTAGCTTGTCAGTGAGTCCCAGCTGCTGAAGCAAGGAGTTTGTCAGCTTGTTAGCCCCGTTCTGACCTTTCGTTTATCTGTTAGGGTTTAAAGGGAGAAACACCCACAGGAAATGTATGCATGGGCTGCTATAGTGATTTGTCCTTACACAACAGAGGGAACAGAGAGAAACAGGCACGGAAACTGTTCTCTGAGTTTGATGGTGGGGTGTGTAGAAGGCGGGCCTCCTACACCAAGTGACTCAGTTCCCTGTCCTGCGTTTCCAAGGAGTGGGTGTGAGGGAGGGGGGCACTAGGAGCCAAAACTATAGTTAGAGAGTGGCAACTGCTTCAGGCCTTAGACAATGTGCCGGTCCTCCAAATATTGCTCGCTCTCTGCAACCCATTCCCAGCAGAGGATTCTGGGTGTTGTGGTTCAGGAAATGCTCTGTAGAAAGCAGCCATAGTGACTTTGCAACATCTAGGGATGTTCTGTGGGCCGCTGGCGGGTGGGAAGACTAATGGCTCCTGAAGGCGGGCATTATATTGTGCTTCTGAGGAAAGTTGGTTTTGTCCAAAGAAGCTCCAGTTTCTATCTATTTGATTTGGTTGTGTGCCCCCGCCCCCAGCACCCGTGTGTGAGTGTTTGTGTGAGTGTGTGTGTGAGTGTGAGTGTGTGTGTGTGTGTTCAGCTAAACTGGCTGGCCAGAAAGCCTGTGTTTTCCTTCTGTCTCTAAAGCCCAAATCTGGGATATGGAGATTCACTGGGCCAATCTTTAAGTGCTTGCTCTTTAAGTGCTTGCTGGGGATCCAAACAGATCTGCATGCTCAAGCAGCAAACACTACGTACTGAGCCATCTCGCTTGGCTTCTCTGGCTTGTCTCTTTGCTTTGTTTGTACCATGGCCTAGTTGAATCTTTTACCATCCCAACCCTCTTTTTTCCTGCCTCCAAAAAAAAAACAAAAAAACAAAAAACAAACAAAAAAAAAACAGAATCTCAAGAAATAGCCTTGACCCACCTGGTGCTTAGTAGTAGACCAGGTTGGCCTCAAAACTATAGAGATCTATCTGCTTTTGCCTCCAGAGTGCTGGCATTAAAGGCATGTGGCACCAAACCTAGCTAATTTGATCCTTTGAGATAGTCTCACTATGTAGTCCTGGCTGGTCTGGAATTAACTGTAGAGACCAGGCTGGCCTCAAACTCACCAAGATTTGTTTGCTTCATGTTTTTTATTTTATTTTTTGTAAGGCTGTGTCTCACTAAATTGTCAAGGCCAATTGGAACTCACTCTGTAATCCAGACAGACTGGGATTATAGGATTATACCAGTAGGTCCATTGTACGTATGTATGTATGTATGTATGTATGTATGTGTGTATTGTGTAGTATGTACGTATATATGCATGTACATATGATATACGCATATGTGATGTATGTGTGTATGTATGATATATACATGTATGTATAAATGTATGATATATGTGTGTATGTATGATGTATCTATGATGTATGCATGCATGTATTTTGTTTTACAACTTGTCATTCTCTTGCATCTGCCTCCTCAGTTCTGAGATCAATCTTGTCCTTTCATTGTTACATATACCAAAGTACTTTGTTTTTTTTGATTTTTTGTTTTTTTGTTTTTGTTTTTTGGTTTTTTTTTGGTTTTTCGAGACAGGGTTTCTCTGTGTAGCCCTGGCTGTCCTGGAACTCACTCTGTAGACCAGGCTAGCCTTGAACTCTTGAACTCAGAAATTTATTATTTATTTACTTATTTTTTTTCCGAGACATGGTTTCTCTGTGTAGCCCCGGCTGTACTGGAACTCACTCTGTAGACCAGGCTGGCCTCAAACTCAGAAATCCGCCTACCTCTGCCTCCCAAGTGCTGGGATTAAAGGCGTGCGCCACCACCGCCTGGCCCAAAGTACTTTGTTAAACTAATCATTAATTTAAAAACTACCTCTGACTTTCTTCCTCTCTGTTGTGGGTCAGAAAACTCCAAGGTTGACATTATCAAAACTGTCATTACAAAGACCTAAAGCATTCACCACTTTTGCAGAATAAAATATTGTTAGTTCTCAACCCAAGGACAAAGGGCTCACTGAAGTGATCCTTATTTAACATATCAAATCAAACCTGGCCACCAGGATTTCCCAGCATCCCTCAGACTCTTCCTGTTACCGGGTTTGTCTGTCATACCAGTGCCCCTACCCTAAACTTGTGCAGCCCAGCCCTGGTCTTTCCCCAGTTGCCCTCCTCTATATATTCTCCAGCCATCTTCATTACCTGCACCTTTTGTCTACCCTTTACTCTCCTGGTTTTCCTCTCTCCCCACCCATCTCCTCAAACAGCCTACCTCAGGATCCTGTTCACTTGAACCCTTCCAGATGCCTCTGGCTATGCTCGCCCTAGTATCTACAATAGGCTTTCTCCACCTACCTTGGAGCAGTCATGGCCTCCCTTTTTCTCTCTCTCCCGCTTGCTTGCTTTCTTTCTTTCTTTCTTTCTTTCTTTCTTTCTTTCTTTTCATTCAAATGTGATTTCCCCCCTTTTTTTCAAGACAAGTTTTCTCTGTGGAGCCCTGACTTTCCTGGAACTCAATTCTGTAGACCAGATCTTCTTGCCTCTCTGCCTCTAGTGCTGGCATTAAAGGCGTGCACCTCCAAGTAGTTTTTTTTTTAAGTTTTTGTTTTATTTATTTATTTATTTATTTATTCATTACATGTAAATACACTGTAGCTGTCTTCAAACACCCCATAAGAGAGCATCAGATATCATTGTGGATGGTTGTGAGCCACCATGTGGTTGCTGGGATTTGAACTCATGACTTCTAGAAGAGCAGTCAGTGCTCTTAACCACTGAGCCATCTCACCAGCCCTCCAAGTAGTTTTTAAGAAAATATATATCAGCAGTACATATTGCTGAACAATTATCAAGTCCTAAAAAGGAGAAAGAGTGTCTCCTAAACAAGCACAGGTAAAGAGCTGGAGTGCCTGAAGCCCGGGATCCTAACACTGAGGCCGGAGGCTGCCGGCGGGAGTGCTTGCACACCTTTAGTACCAGCAGTCTGGAGGCCGATACAGGTAGATCTCTGAGTTGGAAGCCAGTCTGGTCTACCTAAAGAGTTCCAGGTCAGCCAGAGCTACACAGAGAAAGACTATCTGGAAAAATCAAAACAAAACAAAACAAAAAAAACCTAAACCAAAACAAAAGAAAAAACGTAGTGATTGTCTAAGGTGGAAGAGGATCATGGGCTACCGATGTAGAGAGAGACTGGAACTCAAAAATTCAAGGGCTGCGGACTGAGCTCTGTGATAGAACATCTGTCTTTCAGGGACATAGTTCTTTCTTCCGTCATCTGTACCTGAGGGTAGACTCTATTCAATGAGGAGCACAGTGTCAAGCTCTCACAGGGAGCCCTCAGTTTCCCTCCTGGCCCGGCTCTGTCCTCCAGCCCTCAGTTTCCCTCCTGGCCTGGCTCTGTCCTCCAGCCCTCTTTCCTAGAGGAGGAAGGCTCAAGAACCAATAGCCCTCTTTTGGCTGTCCAAATCATTGACCCCTACACTTGCCAGGAACTGGTGCTCAGTCAGGAATGTGAGGCTAATGGAGGACTAAGATCAGTGTCCTTTCCACCTATCCAACCCTGCTGGGTGTAAAAGAGAAGCTACCATAGAGATAGGCACAAGGACACACAGCAATAATCCCAGCCTCAGGATGAGGCAGGAGAATTGACTGATACAGAGGAAATCCCAGAACCAAACAAAACAAAAACACCTACCAATAGCCAGCTGGGCGGTGGTGGCGCACACCTTTAATCCCAGCACTTGGGAGGCAGAGGCAGGTGGATTTCTGAGTTCGAGGCCAGCCTGGTCTACACAGTGAATTGTTCCAGGACAGCCAGGGCTACACAGAGAAACCCTGTCTCGAAAAAGCCTAAAAAAAACAAAGCAAAGCAAAACAAAACAAACAAACAAAAAAACCCACCTACCACAGCTACGAACGCTAACATTTATAATCATACTCTCTGCCTCCAAAGAGAGTCAGGTGAACGGTCACCCTCCCTACAAAGGGAGTTTGAGGCTGTCCTGGAGGCTACTGTAGTCTTAAAAAGACAGAAGACTGCAGTGGGGCTGGGTCACTAATAAGAACCCATGCTGCTCTTACCGAGGAAGTGAAGTTTGATTTGCAGCTCCCATATCAGATGCTCACAACTGCCTGTAACTCCATCTCCAAGGGATCTAATGCCTCTGGCCTCCTTGGGCACTGGCACATGTGTATACCGGACCCAGAAACACATTACTTTAAAATAATAAATCTTTTTTTAAAAGGTTACATTACTTTAAAATAATAAATCTTTTTTTTTTAAGTGACGCTGCAGTAGGAAGAAATTAAGTTTGTTGTATCAGTTGTTTTGGAGACAGGTTCTCAGTAAGTAGTTCTGGCTGGCCTCTGACTACAGACCTCAGAGATCCTCCTGTCTCTGTCCCTAAGTGTTGTGACTACAGGAGTGCACCACCTGCCCCACCCTTCTATTTTATCTTGAGACAGTTGCCCAGGCAGGTCTGAACCTTTCAACCTTCCTACGCCTTTCTTGAGAGTAACTAAACCCATCATCTGGGCTATGCCACTAGGCCTAACTATATGCTTGTTTTCTTACGCATACATAGCTATGAAAAATTTATAAATTAGCCAAAATAAAGAATAACATTTGGACCGGGCGTTGGTGGCAAGTTGCTTTAATCTCATCACTCCGGAGGCAGAGGCAGGCAGACTTCTAAGAGTT